ACATGGCCGTTACTCCAACACCAATTTCAAAGCAGCTGACAATGATGTAATTAATATCATATTTAATTAATTTTGTCTAAATCTTCAAAACATTGTTCAAAAATTTAACAGTAGCAAATGGAATAAGCAACAAAATTGAAACAATTAAAAATAATTAACAATTAATGGTCAACCACTAACAGTTAAAATCAATGACGAAATTTCTGATATTTGTTTTAGCAAACTTGTTAAATTAAATATTTTGCTCGTTAAATCGGATGACAGTAAATATTTTACTTATCTTGAACAGTTGGGAGATGAGTTAATGTCTCAGTACACGATGCAATTTGTCAGCAAAATATAATAAACTCAACATTTACTTAGAGGTTATTACTAAGGACATCAAGTATTTTTAAGTTAAACAGCAATGAAGGAGCACTTTCAGTGTATATAATCACGACAGTTATTTCTAACATTAACAGTTGACATTTTCATAATAGGCGAAGAAGTACTTTAAAAGAGTAGTAGAGGAATATGAGTAGATTCTGGATCAAAAGACACCACTCCCCAATTTAAAACGTCTAGAGGATAGACAAGATGGTAAAGTGTGTTTGGTTGGGGGAGGGGGAATGATGTTTGTAGGCCAAAAACTTCAGTTCCATTACTACTCTGTGGGACTACTTGGATATCAATATTTAGCACTTAAAGATGATAAAGCGCTATGAGACAAGTGACACTTACAAGAATCAAACATTTAATACCAAATGAAAGATAAAATGATAACGGATTAGTTTGCACATGCAAGAATGAACATTTCAAACCAAATGGATGAGAAAGGCCGTGGGACTTGTGAAAAATATAAGAATCATCAGATAAAACTAAATAGGTGATGCTAGAGCTAAACGTAATTGTACGTAAACAGCTAATTAATGGTATTTATCCAATGTAACTGTTATGTGATTGAATTTTGTCCACACATCGATGAACATTAGTTAATTTAGTTAGCAATGTCTGTGAACTCTCTCTCTACTTGGAATGATTTTGAAAATTATTAACAAACTCAGACATTTTACATTCATTTGGGGAGCATTGACGCCTGCACTTCAGTCAAGATGTGTGTGTGTGTGTGAGTGTGTGTGTGTATGTGTGTGTGTGTGCACTTGACCTGCCATTGATGTCACTATAAGCATGTTTTGCTATACATGCGTAATACATTATGGATGACAACTATATGTTTGTTTTTGTTTGGTGCCACAGAAAACAAAGTATTTTCAAGCCGAAGAATATATATATATATATATATATATATATATGTATATATGAGTATATATATATATATATATATATATATATATATATATATATATATATATATGAGTCATATATATGTATATATGAGTATATCTATATATATATATGAGTAATATATTTGGATATATGAGTATATATATATATATATATATATATATATATATATATATATAGATATATATATATATATATATATATATGTATGTATGTATGTATGTATGTATGTATGTATTCTGATTTATGAATCCCCTTCCCCGTCTTGTATTCTGCATTTAAAACCCGTTTATCATCATGTCATATCAGTTCATTTTCTTACAAAATTCAAATGTTAACGGTTAATTGCAAGTCAATATTCAAATCAAATTTTCATTCTTTCAGGCCAAGAATCATGGTTTGATTGTTTTATTCATTTAGCAAAGCATTGCCATTTAAAGCAACCTGAACAAACGATCACTGGATCAAATGGAATAACATTTATGTCCTCAGGAGCTATTCAAACGATGAAATGTGTAATAAATCTTGTTTCAATTTAATAATTCTCACGAGAATTTGTAACAAATCTGTTGTAATGAATAGCAAAACTTGCATGATCATAGTAGTTTGAGGTCTTTGGGGAGATAGGGATCTAAGCAATGCTTCTCATTTAAGGATCACCGGATGAGCTTGGTTTAGGAAACCATAAAATGTTCTCTTTTATTATTCTCTCGATGGCAATATATCTAAAAAAGACTATATAGCACTGGGTAGCAACATTTTGCAGTTTGAGGAGGAAATGTAATAATCGATACATAGAGTTTCAGAATTTCAAAGTGATTTTGAAGTGAATGGAATATAACTTTGAATTCTTTTTGCACGATTCTATTAATAGTTTATAAAAATTCATCATTTAAAAATTACAGGCAGGTGAGGATTTTAGCTTGGGGACTTAATAAAAATTAAGTAAAAATTTGCAAGTTGTACTGCTATTAGTCTGTGTCTAACTATTGCAATGAATTTTCCTTGCATCAAGAGCTGCATGCCATGCGAATTATTTTCCTAGGTTTTTTTCACACATAAACAGACACACACCTTGTTAAAGAAATTATGCCATCAGCATCCATGAAAATGATCCTACACACCTGTTATTTGAGTGACGATTTTACACTAATTGTGATGCCAACTGAGTGCGGAAGGCATCGTGATTGTTACGAAGATTTAATGCTTATGTTACATAATTATAGTGTTTGTGTGGTTAAATGCTGACGTTATATTTATTGTTATTGTGGTTGAGCGCATTTTTTATATACAGATTTTTATTGTGTCTGAGTACAGGTGACACATTGATTGTTTGAGTAGTTGATTGCAAACGTTCCACTGATTATTTGGTTGATGGATGCAGACGTTATATTTATTGTTGTAATTGTTTTGAGTTCAGAAGTTACTTCGTTATAAATGGTTGATTGTTATGTTACACTGATTAAGATGGTGGTTGATTGCAATGTTACTTTGACAGTTAAAGTAGCTGATTGCATACGTTACACTTTATTATACTGGTTGACTAAATGTTAACACGGTATGAGATTTGGTTGGATACAGATGTTATACCGTTATGATTGCATATGTTTCACTGATTGTTATAGTAGTTCATTGTAGACGTTACATTGTACAGTGTTAAAGCGCAGACGTTGCACAAATTGTTAAAGTAGTTCATTGTAGACGTTACATTGTTACAGTATTAAAACGCAGACGTTGCACAAATTGTTAAAGTAGTTCATTGTAGACGTTACATTGTTGCAGTGTTAAAGCGCAGACGTTGCACAAATTGTTATAGTAGTTCATTGTAGACGTTACACTGTTAAAGCGCAGACGTTGTACAAATTGTTATCGTAGTAGACATTACATGGTTACAGTGTTAACGCGCAGATGTTGCACAAATTGTTATAGTAGTTCATTGTAGACATTACATTGTTACAGTGTTAATGCACATACGTTGTACAAATTGTTATAGTAGTTCATTGTAGACGTTACATTGTTACAGTATTACAGCGCAGACGTTGCACAAATTGTTAAAGTAGTTCATTGTAGACATTGCATTGTTACAGTGTTAATGCACAGACGTTGTACAAATAGTTATAGTAGTTCATTGTAGACATTTCATTGTTACAGTGTTACAGCGCAGACGTAGCACAAATTGGTGTAGTAGTTCATTGTAGACATTTCATTGTTATAGTGGTTGAATGAAGATGCTATACGAATTATTATAGTGTTTTAGTGCAAATGGTACCAGTGCCAGATTACCCAATGGGCAGAGTAGGCATTGGCCTATGGGCCCGACGCCCTTTTGAAGCCACGAGACAACAGATGAAAATAATATTGAATTGATTTGATGTCGATGTATTAGGAGATAATTTGGTGGGGAGGGGCGATATTTCGACTGCCTAGGTGCCTCCAAAAGGTTTTAATCCGGCACGGATGGTGCCCTGTTGTTGGGCCGAGTACAAAGGGTTTCTTTGATAATTACAGTGTTCGAGTGCCGAGTACAAACATTACTCTGATTGTTCTGGTTGAAGCTGAGATAAATATTACACATTGCAACAAGATAAACCAGGGTGGGGTCAGATTATACTGAATACATTACGACCAATTACTTTTTTTACACCGTTTTTAAGTATAGAAATTTCTGACACTAAACTCGCGTGCAAAAATTCCAACAATGGAAGTAATTCAACAGCGCAGACCGATTTAAAGATCTGATATAAAGAAAATGATATTGTTCATAACTGGAAAGAATCATGACAATAACTAAAAACGAACAGTCAACAAGAATGAATGAATAGAAATTTACCATGATTAATAGATCTATCAACATGGATTACTAAGGATTGGAAATTAAACAAATACAGCGATTAACCATTCAAATAAGGGTCATGACTTTCACTCAACTATCGATAGTAATGATTTTCAAAAAATATTGATGGCGATGATTTTCAACTTCTCACCCAAATAATGAATAAAAACATATTCTCTCAAACATTCCAGGTCCAACACAGACAGCATCAAAGCTCAAGCACTACAGCACCAGCAGCTATACATCTAGCTGCTGGACTGTCTAACATAGACAGCCCAAACAGACTTGGTAGACTCCAACATCTCTAACAGCTTTACAGGTAAGAAGCACTTTGTTTCCGCTCTACAATAGCTCCTGAAACTGCTGAAAGTTTAATGCCTATAGCCATGTAGTATATGTGACACGGTGTTATATAAAATGTATTGACGTACATGATGCATTAGCGTGATGCATTGACTATTCATCACTAGTAAATTTTCGAGACTACTGTACAAGATTATCACAATCAGTTTAGAATGCGAATCTTCATCTTACAGAAGCTTACATGAATTGTAGAACAAACATTCTCTATTTCCTTCATACATGCAACATTTATTCGAATACGATATTTGTGTTCCGTTATACACAGGTGAACTTAAAAATGGTGTGATGTGTATGATTTAAATTTTTAACGTAGCTTTAACAATTTTTTTCAGTCATATCGCTACGATGTCTGCTGTGTGACAGTTTATAGTGATGTCTAGCAGTGGGGTATCATGGCGCAGACGTGTTGCATGATGTCCCACTCAGTCACATTACCAGACCAACCAGTCCAAACACTAACATCTTAATGTTGATCGCCAAGTGTGGCAGCTGTTAGTATAATTTTTTAAAGTCTTTGGTATGACGCGACCGGGGTTCTAACTCACTACCTCCCGCAATCGAGGCGGACGCTCTAACCACTAGACCACCGCAGCAGTTGAACTTAATAATAGATTACAATAAATCTAATAACATATTATTACATAAATATGTCGGAACAGTCTAAAATTCAGAAAACATATAGAACAGTAAAACAATTTTATCATAAAATAGGGACAGGAAAAAGAATACAATTTTATAATTAACGTAGCTCTGCTGCTGAGGATTTGCTCCGTAAAGTGGACCACGTACTGACAAGACACTACAGGTTCTAAAGATATAATTATACTATGAGCCATTCACTACCCTGGCTATGAAGAAATCCACAGTCGCTGAGCTCAAGGTATATCGGTTTTCTCGTCATAAGCACTTTGCTCGTGCAGCATAGAACGAACTCACTATACTGAAATTGTGTGCGATGCAAACCACTAACGGATAACACCGTATGCACAAAAGAAACCAGAGTACATTTTCTTTTAGATATAATATATAAATATTTAACATGCACAATTCTATGAGACAAGTAAACTTGAAAATCTGGACTTGGGTATAAAAAGAGCAATCTCTCTCTCTCTCTCTCTCTCTCTCTCTCTCTCTCTCTCTCTCTCTCTCTCTCTCTCTCTCTCTCTCTCTCTCTCTCTCTCTCTCTCTCTCTCTTCGTAGAGTGAAAATCAATTGCACATCGCCTGCCTGAGGAAACTGATAAGTAGAAGATGGCAGGACCTCGTTCAAGACACTGAAGTTCTGAGTTGAGTAGCTATTCCAAGCATCCATATTTTGTTGATGAAATCACAACATACTTTTGTTGGCTTCGTCACTAGGATTTCAGACGAGCAGGTACAAAAGAAATCTTTTTATGGTGAGCTGAGGGATGGAAACCGATCTCATGATGTTCAGAAGGAAATGCTTCAACGATTCACTTAAGTTATCCTGAAACACGTCAATATTCATCCTAATTCTAGGGAAGATCTTATACAGTATCGTTCAAGCTGGCGGAGTCTTATCTATATTGAAACTAAAGACATTGAATGGAAGATGTTTAGTGGATTGCAAGCATAGGAGCAGCTGAAAGCTCATAAAACATCACGTTCTTTATTGCTTAAGCAAACCAAAACAGTATTACCTGTCAATTGTGCAACATAATTCAGATCACTAATTCGCATGATCAACATTCATGTACACAGAGAATCTAAAGAGGTTAATAATGTCGTGGTTGTCTTCAGCTCCTGAACATGTTCTTGTACTAATATGCTTGAATATGCTGAATTACCAATAGTATCGATCTATTACAATGGGAATTGCCAGTAATCCCGAAACATTGCTTTTGTCAAGACTGACAACGGGTACTTTGTATTTTAAGAAATGCTTTAAATAAATGATTCATCAAAATCTAAATCTAACCACAGTATTAAATATATCTGCATACTGATACTGAAACAAGAAAAATACTATAAAATAAAAATTAGAAATAGAAAGATTGTTTGGTACAGACACATCCACGACCTAATTACGACCTTCAGTCCCCATACCTTAGACATAACTTACGTCGCAACACAACCAATCTAACTTAATCAGCCAGTGGGAAATATTATAAACAATTTCCCTATATAGAACACAAACTCAAATAAACAACCTATTTATAGTTTATTATAATATGCTATCATGGACAACACATTCAACATATAACAAAGATATGCATTATAAATTTAGAGTGCATCAATTAATAAAAAAGAATTCTTTGGACTTGCATTGCAGTGTGTATCTACTAACATGATGAAGAATCCATAAGATTCTGACTGCAGTTTGTATTTATTAACTAAAGGAAGAATCCCGAAGACTGATTGCAGTGTGTATTCATTAATCTAATTAATAATCACCAGGATTCTGATTGCAGTGTGTATTTATCAATCTAATTAAGAATCCCTAGGATTCTGATTGCACTGTGTATTCATTAACTAAAGGAAGAATCCCTAAGACTGTGATTGCAGTGTGTATTCATTAACTAAAGGAAGAATCCCTAAGACTGTGATTGCAGTGTGTATTCGTTAACTAAAGGAAGAATACCGAAGACTGTGATTGCAGTGTGTATTCATTAATTTAATTAATAATCACCAGGATTCTGATTGCAGTGTGTATTTATTTATCTAATTAAGAATCCCTAGGATTCTGATTGCAGTGTGTATTCATTAACTAAAGGAAGAATTACTCGAACTGTGATTGCAGTGTGTAGTCATTAATCTAATTTAGAATCCCTAGGACTGTGATTGCAGTTTGTAGTCATTAATCTAATTAAGAATCCCTAGGACTGTAATTGCAGTTTGTAGGTAATAATCTAATTAAGAATCCCTAGGATTGTGATTGCAGTGTGTAGTCATTAATCTAATTAAGAATCCCTAGGACTGTGATTGCAGTTTGTAGTCATTAATCTAATTAAGAATCCCTAGGACTGTGATTGCAGTTTGTAGTCATTAATCTAATTTAGAATCCCTAGGACTGTGATTGTAGTTTGTAGTCATTAATCTAATTAAGAATCCCTAGGACTGTGATTGCAGTTTGTAGTCATTAATCTAATTAAGAATCCCTAGGACTGTGATTGCAGTGTGTATTCATTAACTAAAGAAAGAATTACTCGAACTGTGATTGCAGTGTGTAGTCATTAATCTAATTAAGAATACCTGGGACTGTGATTGCAGTGTGTAGTCAAAAACATAATTAAGAATCCATAAGATTCTGATTGCAGTGTGTATTCATTAAGTAGAAAAGAAAGAATCGCTAGGACTGTGAGTGCAGTGTGTGTCTTTGCTGTGTGCATTTAAATCGTGGCATACGATTTTTATGAAACTTTATTGCACAAGAAAAGGTTTATGTTACTTATTGAAGAAATTATACGCAATATGGAATGGCGGGTAAATAACTTAGTAACACTCACAACATCGTGCCGACATATGTTCAATAAAGTTGTGATAGAAGAGTCTGGTTAGATAATTTCCCTAGACGACACAACAAACAGACTAATAACAGAATAAGGCAAACATTCTTTGTTATTTCAAAAATTTAATCGAGAGAAATGATATTTATCATTAATCTTTTGGGCTACTGACACATAAAATATAACATCACATTGCACGTAGTTCACCCAATCAAAGACTACGTCATTACTGATATTCACTCTTATGTATGTATGTATGTATGTATGTATGTATGTATGTATGTATGTATGTATGTATGTATGTATGTATGTATGTATGTATGTGTGTGTGTGTGTGTATGTATGTGTGTATGTATGTATGTATGTATGTATGTATGTATGTATGTATGTATGTATGTATGTATGTATGTATGTATGCATGCATGTATGTATGTATGTATGTATGCATACATTAGTTTATTAAAACTGTATGCCTATATTATAATGTCTTAGTATTTAGTCGATTGAGATACAGAATGCATTTGACAAATGATTCTAGTACATTTCTTTAATAAAAAGTTTCATCTCTCCATGCAAAATTTTAATTGTCATTCAAGAAATATGACGTACAGAGTGATTATTAGTATTGTAATGAGTTTAGCACTGATCATCGATACCATAATGTTATATAATTTGATTTTTTTTTCTCTTAAAAACTTGTTGTAGCTTTTGTCCAATATATTATCTATTTTATTTTTTGCAGGTTAATATCAGATAAATTATGAGTTTTATGCAGTATGTATTATAGGGGTAGAGAAAACAATTATTTTTTAAAAGAGCTACTACAATTGGTACTTCATCTAGTATTTCAACACTGAGAGCACCGACATCTGTTGCGTCTAAATGATGAAAAGTGTTGTTTTCATATATTCGTTTAGTATGTTCGTATATTTTAGTGTGTTCATATATTATGTCAGTATGTGTATATATTCTGTCAGTGTGTTCATATATTCTTTAAGTGTGTTCATTTAATCTGTCAGTGTGTTCGTATGTTCTGTCAGTGTAGTTTTGATCAAAATATCTTGCACATTTAGCTGCCTTGGCTTGGTTTTGTACAATGTCTTTAAAGGCTGTTTCGAATAGGTTAAGCTCAAGATACTTCAAATGTTTTAATAATAGGGATTATATTTGGCTATGAAGGAATAAAATGCATTCCGAAAAGAATCTTACTTTTCTCCTTCGTACATACATGCACACAGTGATAACAATAATGACATAGTCTTGGATTCGGTAAACTACGTGCAATGTAGTCTAATACAGGAAACCACGTTGCTCATTCCAAGAAAAAATACAAACCAGAGTAAAAAATGTATAATTTTTTGGTACCATCGGACTAATGTCGAGTCGTTTATTTTAACCAGAAAGAGAGTTGTACATTTAAAATAGCTATGATTATCTACTTTGAGAATCATCATCACTTCGCACTGCGGTTGGACTACAGCAGTCTGCCGGGGACTAATGAAGCGGACGCAGGAACAAAGGATTGGCTGCAGATGGATAGCTGTCCTTCAACCTTGCAACAAAGCGAGGTCTTTACTTGGCAGTACCAATAAGATAGAAAGCCAACATTTATCAAATACTACTTAATCTTCCTTTTTGTTGTGCTAGAATTTTTACAAGAGTGACAAATGGTTTAACATCATGTTTCCGCAGGAAGACTTAAGAGAGACCAATCAATATATATCGAGCAGCCAAGTTGAATAACTTCACAACAGGGAGTGATGCAGCAATATCTCCATTGAATAATATAGACCACTTTTAATAGAGGACTGACTAAATAATCTAATAACATTGAAAAAATAGAATTTCTAGGAAAGAAATCGGATATTTCATGTACTAAACGAAAAGAAATGCAAGTACATTGTGAAAAATCATTCAATTACTTTTAATATAATGCACAAAAATGAATTCTCTTGTTCAGACAGGTTCATTCGAATTTCGAAAGAACAAGTCATGAATTTGTATCTAACCTAACATTCATGCTTTATAATACTGACAAATATTCCTATTCACTATGTCATTTTGATTTCGTAATTAACCAACCCTATTCTTACATACTTAATTAGAAAATAACATTACAATAAGCGA